CTTTAAATGTTATCTTACATAGTTTTTCCTGTTATTTCAGCCCTTTTGTTATGTATTCACATTAGAATCACCTGGCACACCTGTAATCCCAGCATTTAGGAGATAGAGGCAGAAGGATCTGAGTTGAAGACCAGCCTCAGCTATATGAGATCCTGTTTCAAAAAAATAAAAAGTTCCAGTAAAATACCTAGTGAATTTGCCCAAGCATCCTTTAATTATTTGTTCTTGGGAACTGATTCCGGTTTGCATCTGTGTGACATTTCCTATTAGGTTGGAGCCAGAGGAAATGTGGAATTGACAAGAATGCCCAGGAAGAAGCAATGTGGTGTGTTTATGAAGACTCTGGCCTGTTTCACATTGTGCTATGTGGAGCACTTAGGACACATCCCTCTTTGCCTAGGCAGCATTGTAATTACCAACAAAACTTCATTCTCAGACTCAACCGCAGTCATATGCCTATTTATAAGCAGAGGAGAGGCACTGGATGATTTTTTTTCTTTCTTTTTTTTGAGTCAGGGACTGTAGCCCAGGCTGTTCTGGAACTCACTATATATCTCAGGCTAGCCTCAAACGCAAAATCTTCTTGCCTCAGCCTCTTAAATGTTGGAATAGAAGCATGTATCCCCACATGGACCCCATTAATCATTCTATGGATGCAAAATTAAACACAATAGAGATGTCTTTGTCTTGATTCAGGATGGTATTGTGGACCCCATTGACAGTACTCTAAGAGATTTTTGTGGCCGGTGTATTCGAGAATTCCTTAAATGGTCCATTAAGCAGACAACACCTCAGCAGCAAGAAAAGAGTCCAGTGAACACCAAATCACTTTTCAAGCGGCTCTATAGCTTTGCACTTCATCCCAATGCTTTCAAGAGGCTAGGAGCAGCACTTGCTTTTAATAACTTCTACAAGGAATTCAGGTATGCCAGCCAAGCATCGGGAGAGTGTATAAAACAGCTCTGGAGATTTTTAGTGGTGATTTTGAAAAGTGTCCTAATGTTAATGCCATATATTCATATGTCAAGCATTTATTAAATAACTGTGCTAGATGATGTGTATTGAAGGATCTTAGAAGTTGCTATATGTGTTGGTGCCTACCTTTAATCCCAGCACTTGGGAGGCAGAGACAGGCAGATCTCTGTGAGTTTGAGACCAGCCTGATCTATGTAGTGATTTTTAGAAACTACTGAGAAACACATGCAAATGTAATACAGATGTTTTGTGAATGCAACGAAAGACAATATAGAAGGTCTTTTGGAGCACCTGAGATGAGTTCTATGAGGAGATTTGTTGGCACTCTTCAGTCAGCAACCTGAAAGGACCCTCTCAGAGCAGGGCCACAAAGCATAAATGAAAGCTAGCCTTTCAGAAAGTGGTAGAGTACTACATCTTCTCCACCTCATAAGCCTGCCATATGAGGTGGTAAAGACTTTTGGTATTCTTAGACTGTGGTGTTCAAGGCTTAGAAGGAAGGATAGCAGGCAGGTGAGCTAGGCTATGTCTGCTATAGTAGAAAAATGTGGCTCACCTCTAGTGCTACTGAGTTATGGGAGTGGAAAATGGGAGTTATTTATGAATTAAAGGCTTAGAGTTTACTCTTGCTATCAGCTTATTTTGAGGTAAGTTGGGAAGTTTTACAATACATTTATTTAAAAATAATGTGGATATGACATCAGATCTTCTCTCCACTGAATTTTACTGCAGTATAGAGTGGTCAGAACAGCAGTTCTAAGGTTATATGTTATGATAGTCCTACAGAAAGGCTAGTGACACATGTTTGTGAATGAAAACCAGTGCTTCCTCTTGATTTATGCAGTTGGGCTTTAGGGCTTTAATCTGTTCTTTGAGGAGGTAGTATTTTGTGAGTTGGTGAATATTTTTAAATATTTGAGCTTTTTTTTTTTTTTAAGATCTTTGTTTTTGTTTTTGTTTTTTTAAAAAAACAGGGTCTCGCTATAGCCCCAGCTAGCCTGGAACTTGTTATGTAGACCAGCTAGGCTTCCATCTTACAGATAGCTGCCTGCCTCTGCCTCCCTAGTGGTGGGATGAAATGCATGCAACACCATGCTCAACCTAAAGATAGGTCTTATTCTGTAGTTCAGGCTGGCCATGAACTCACTATGCAGTCCAGACTGACTATTCAGCAGCTCTGCCTCAGCTTTCCAAGTGCTGGAATTTCAGGTACGAACCACCACACCAGGCCTTTTTTTTTTTTTTTTTGTCATTTTGAGATAGAATCTCTCTGTAGCCCCAGCTGACCTGAAACTTGCTATGTAGACCAGGCTAGACTTGAACTCAGAGATTGACCTGCCTCTGTGCCATCACACCTGGCATTTTTCTTTTTTTTTTTTGAAGATAGCATTTCATGTATCTCAGGGTAGCTTCAAACATGATGTATTCAGGCTGGTCTTGTGCTACCAATTCTGCTTTTACGTCCTCTGTGTAAGGATTGCAGGCATGCGTCATATGCCACTTATTTGAGCCCTTTTAAAAAGCAGTTTTCTGGGCATGATGGCTCCCATCTACAGTGCCAGCAGTAGACGACTGCTGAGAGCTTGAGGCAGCACTTCTCTTTGGTTTATTCAGCTGTTGGTTTCTGCTTCTTTCTTAAAAAGAGAGGCTGAGCACTGTTAGCCTTTATGTTGATAGTTTGCCATGGGCAAAATGTTTACAGTTAAATTCTTGCCTTAGCTTATGTTTGATTTATTTATTTTCAGTTCTAGGAAGATGAGTTAGTTTGTCAGTAAGTGAAACTATTCTTTCTTCAGTTAGTGCCTTGGCTGCATAGTGAATTCTCGGTCAGCCTAGGCAGTAGAGTGAGAGAGACCTTGACTCAAAAAAATACATTGTTCACATTACTTGTTTCTTTTCTTTTCTGTCTTATTATTTTCTTAGGTGAGGCTTTAATATCCTTTGTTTTGCAGGGAAGAAGAATCCTTGGTAGAACAGTTTGTGTTTGAAGCCTTAGTGATATATATGGAAAGTCTGGCCTTGGCACATGGAGATGAGAAATCCTTAGGTATGTGTCATCCAGGTGTTCTGTCTATACATTGAGCCCTTGGGATCTTTTCCACTCAGGAGTTAGGGCTCAAGTGATCCTCTCATAAGGTGGTATTTTCTTTCTTCACATATTCTTAGCACATCTGATAAATATTTGAGGGAGATTTGTTGTCATCCCATATATGCACACATACTGCCTCAAAGTCCAGTTTGTAAAAGATTTTCTTTGTTTCCATTTGGTCATGCACCTCCTCCCCTGGCTCTTACATTCTTTCTGCCCCCTCTTCCACAATAGTCCCTGAGCCCTGGATAGGTGAAGTTAACTATAGAAGTCCTATCCAAGGACTCATACTCTGCAGACTCTTATTTTCTGTGTGGTGGCCATTCGTGGCCTTTTGTGTTCATTGCCCTCTGTTGCATAAGGGAGCTTTGTTGGTGAGAGTTGAGAGGTGCATTAGTGTTCTCTCTACCACTTGTTCCACTATGTTTCTGGGGAGGGAGCGTAAGGATGATTAAGATGCCTTGTATGAAATATGCAAAGGTTTGGTTGGTATTTTTTTTTGTTGTGGGGAGGGGGTTCTCCCTATAGCCCCAGGTGACCTGGAACTTGCTATGTAGATGAGGCTGGCCTTGAATTCAAAGAGACCCACCTGCCTCTGCTGGGATTAAAGGCATTCGCCACCATGCCTGGCTTAAAATACACAAAAATTTAATAAAATATATAAAAAAATTTAATACAATATAAAAACCAAAAGACAATATAATGCCCTGCCAAAAATAGGCAATTTGTATAATCAAAGCAGCTGAACTGCTATAAAACTACAATAAGTGGCATTACCTAGCAAGGCTTCAGCTTGGCATCTGTTTCATTAAAAACATCCTTTTAACTGATTAATTCTAAAGCTAAACAAATGAAAAATGGCACTACCATATGCACCAGTAATCCCAGTGCTGAGCATACAGCCAAAGACAATAGAATCAGTGGCTTAAAGAGGCCTCTGTTTTTTTGCAGTATTATTCACAGTGGCCAAGATATGGAGTCACTCTCAGTATCCATTGATGAGTAAAGAAAATGTGATTTATACACCAATAGAACTCAAGGTTTTTTTATTACATTTATTCGTGTGTGTGTTTGCTATAGTGCATGTATGGGGGGGTCAGAAGACCACTTACTGGAGTCAAGTCTTTCCTTCCACTTCTGAGTCCCAGGATTCAAACTGAAGAGGTCAGATTTAGTAGTGAGTACCTTTACCCACTGAGCCATCTTACTGATCCATATCCATGCTTTAAAAAGAAGGAAACCAGGGTTAAGAGATGGCTCAGCTGTTAAGAGCACCGACTGCTCTTACAGAGGACTTGGGTTCAATTCCCAGCACCCACATGGTGGCTAGGAACGGTCCTTAACTCCAGTTCCAGGGGAATCTGAAGCCCTCTTCTGACCTCCGCGGCATTGCACAACATGGGTGCAATCACATACATGCAGGCAATACACACATATACATAAAATAAAAATAAAATATTTTTAAAAATAATACAATATTTTTTAAAAAGAGAGGTATTAAGAATGATAAGTCATAAGTAAGCCAAAGTAGAGTCTACTTAATTCTGTCTAGAAGCTATTAGGAACTTGGTAGAATTTTTATGCTTAGAACTCTTCCTAGAGGTCTCTGTTGGTCTATTCATTGGTATAGTCAGGACCCTGAGGCCCTTGTCACTGAGGGATTAGATCACACAGCTGTAGAATGGCAGTGCTTCTCTTCCACTTACTCAGATCTTGGTTTTTGCCTATTTCATAAAATGACAGGCTCAACACTATTAACCTTTTATGCTGATAGTCTGCCATGGGGAAATGTGTAAAATTTAGTTCTTAGCTTAAGATTGATTTCTTTGACTTAATTTTCCCAGAAGATGAATTTTCTCAACAAGTAAAACTTTGCTCTTTCTTAAATCAGTGCTGTGTGTCCCTGAGTTTTATCACCCAGCACACAACAAACCAAAAACCGCCAAACAGATGCCTGAAAAGATAATGATTTCTTGGTGCCAGAAGTCACCATGCATTCTTTCTCCTAGACCTCTGGATGGTTTATCACCTTAGTTCTGTCCCCTACTATAATGGTTATATTATTAAACTATAATATAGCTTATTCTACAGGAGAAAAAGGAAGGCCAAGGAATGACTTTAAGTTGGTGTACATTGGCTCAGACCTGAACGGGGTTTTTGTGGTACCTTCCAGATCTCTTTAATCTATCACTCAAGACTGTCTTTTGGTTGTTGAGGATGCTTGTTGGTCATACAGTTTCTAATTGGATATTGCTCTGTGTGTGTGTGTGTGTGTGTGTGTGTGTGTGTGTGTGTACATGTGCCATTCCTTCCTGCAGTCAAGAGTCTGGGTTTTGAAATATAAATCCTTTATTTAAATTTCATATTCTGAAGGATGAAGAAATATTAAATCTATAGTAAAGTTACCTTCATAATCACAAAATTAGGCCAATAAATGTATGGTACTATGTTATTAATGATGACCAGCTATGTTTGCTTTGAAATTTCTTTTGGTGCTGGATCAGGCACAGTTCAGCAGTGCTGTGATGCCATAGACCATCTGAGACGCATCATTGAAAAGAAGCACATTTCGTTAAACAAAGCTAAGAAGCGACGTTTGCCACAGTAAGTGATACTGCTTCCTTTTCCTTTTTTTAACTCAACATAATGCTAATTCCCATCTGATAAAGGACAAATTAGGGTGAGTGTATGGAATATAAAGAATTAGCTTTTTAAAGAAGAAATGTGTAGAAGTTTGAAGTCTGCTTTCCAACAGAATTTAAAAGCTTTATGTTTAAAAGTGCCT